CGCTCCAACAGCCCCAATCTCTCCTGCCCTGAGGACTCCAGCTGTGGACGCAGTGCTCCAGGCGAGGTGTCACAGCACACAGCTTTGGTTGCAGCCCAGGATCCGGTTGGCTTTCTGTGTTGTGAGGGCACACACAGAATCACAGAATGGCCAGGGTTGGAAGGGACCTCAAGGATCACAAAGCTCCAACCCCCTGCCGCATACAGGGCCACCAACCTCCACATTTAATACCAGCCCAGGCTGCCCAGGGCCCCATCCAACCTGGCCTTGAACAGCTCCAGGGATGGACAGGGCTTCCACAGCCTCTCTGGGCAGCTGTTCCAGCACCTCACCACTCTCTGTAAAGAACTTAATACACTTTCCCCCATAGCCCCCTGTGGGCGCTGTGGTGGGGTGGAGGAGGCTGTTGTTGTTTGGAAGCCTCAGCTCTGCTTCCGCTGCCTGACGAAGCTCCGCTCTTCATGATCAGAGCTCTCCCCGCCTCCTCTCCCCTGAGCAGCACACAGAGCTGCCATCGCTCTGAGCCATGCGGAACGGACGGGCCCTGGGCACCTGGCTGCTGTTTGCCAGCATGGCTGTGGCCAAGTTGGGCGTCCATGGTAAGTCCCAAAGGCACTGGGTGCTGCCCACTGCCCACTGCCTACTGGGGCACAGGGAACGCGGGGATGGCAAAGGGGCCAAAGGAGAAATTCTGTGGGTCTTTTTGCATGGTTTTCCCTAGGAATGTTTGTTTCCGCTATCATCCTCCATGTTTTCTTTTGCTTTGCTGTTTGGGTTTTGCTCCTGACTTTGCATTTAAGGGAAACGTTTCACTCGCTGTTGGAATGTCTCTGTCGTAGTGGCACTCTGTTATTCGTGCTCTGTGTGCGGGATGAGGCTCACATGTGTGCAGACTGAGCGGAGCCCAGGCAGATGCATGGTTCCAGTTAGTTTTCATTCTGAGAGGGATTGGATCTATACACCAGAGCTGCACTAAGTAATCATCTATTGAACGCTGGACTGCTTTTCCACTGGCCAATTTGCTTTTTTGCAGAGGTTTCTGTCTGCAGCATCCTTTTCACTGCTCAGGGAAAAACTCAATGCTTCTACAGCAGCCATCTCTACGAAGGACACTCAGGAGCTCTGCACCACTGTAAGGGCTGAGAATGCAGCTACAAAACTCTCTGCTCTCCTTTATTTTTCAGGAGGGATTATTGTGAAAGAAATCAGTGGGAAGGTGTTTCTGCAATGTCAAACAAGCAAAGGAGAGCAAAAACAAGAAATTAAATGGTGGAAAGACGAAGTTGAGTTAGGAAACATGACACTGCTGGACTTGGGTACAATTTACGATGATCCCAGAGGCATCTATAAATGTATGCTGGATAACAAAAACTCCACTCTCCAGGTGCATTATCGAAGTGAGTGTTTGAAGCTCAATTTCTAGAGCCAGGACTGCTCCAGAGTTTTCATGTAAGCCAGTTTTTAAGGGAAATACTGATTTCCCAGAACCTGCGGGTGGTTCCATTCCTGCCTGTGCTGTGGCTTGCTATTCCAGGAATGGCTAGCTCAGAGTGCTGGGTACACATGACAGCTTGTGCCACTGGGTTGGGTCATGCAGGCAAACCAAGCTCTGCTGTCCTGAGAATAGAACCTGCTTGAGCTGGCAGAGCAATCTGGGCTCATATCAACTCAGGTGGCAGAACAGAGACAGCCACTGGAGTTGGAGGCGAGGGGCAGGTTCCTGGTACCGATCTTGCTCTCAGTCTTTGTGTTCTTTGTGTTTCCAGTGTGCCAGAATTGCATTGAAGTGGATGCTCCCACCATCTCAGGGATTGTGATCGCAGATGTTATCGCCACTGTCTTCCTGGCAATTGCTGTGTATTGCATCACTGGGCAAGATAAGGGACGCATGTCACGAGGTGAGGGGAGAGCCTGCTCATGGGTGGGGACAGGAAGTGCCTGGGTGCCTGGGCAGCTCTGGGGCTGCATGGTACCTGGGGACTTCCGTCACTGCCACGTAGCTCAGTAAGTGTGTGACACAGGCACCAGCCAGCAGCCAGCCTCCAGCGCAGCCCTGGGAGGGGTCACTCCGTGTACCCTTTATGCCCCTAGCTTAGCTTCTTGGGAAAAGCCATCAAACATACAATGCTCTCCAAAACATCATCCCCAGGACAGCAGCTTTCTGCCATATCTACCAGAGGAAGTCAAAACAGCCAGCTACTTGGGTTTGTTTGCAAATGCACTGCACATTGCCCATGGTGCCTCCTGATCTTTGACTGCAGTCTTTCTTTATTTAGCTTCTGACAGGCAGAACCTGATAGCCAACGATCAGCTCTACCAGGTGAGCATGCATGTGCACGTGTGTATGTTTTTTTGTGTGCATTCATAGGTGTCAGCAGCTCCACTTGGCTGGAATGACATGGCCATGATGGCACAGCTGCTGGGGAGGTGGAGTGTGGTGTTGTCACTCTCTGCTGGGAGGTTCACAGCAGCTTCTCCCTGAGCAACCTGTAGGATGGTGCAGGCTCAGCTGCCCTCTGCCCTCTCTGGGGTTGTTAAGCTTGGGGGCAGTGGAGGGAGCTTGCCAAAAGCTTGGCAAAGGGGAGTCTTGGCCAGCTTCCCCCCACAAGGCTGGACAAACACAGTTGTAACTTGCCTTGCCTTTTTTTCTCCCTAGCCCCTTGGTGAGCGGAATGATGGACAGTACAGCCAGCTGGCAACTGCCAAGGCCCGCAAGTGAAGTGGGAAGGCACTGGGGCCAGTGACTCCTTCACACAATGAAACCATAGCCAGTGCCAAAGAGCACCAGCACCCTGCCCTGGTGCTGCTTTGTGAACTAGCTGCTGGCAGAAGGCACTGTGGGTTTTTGCCTGGAGAGCCCTCCAGCTCCCTGCCAGGATGGGCTGCTTGTAGCAATCTGCTCTCTCCGTGATGCATTGCATTTCTGTATTCCTCTCATTAAAGATAATCTTATTCTATGGCCCCTCTGTTGTATCAGTTGTGTTAAGGTCTGGGGAGCCATGCAGTCACTGGAGAAGGTGTGCACTGGCTGTGATCTACTGGATCCCTGCAGAGCTGTGAGGTTTCTACCTGTCTGATAGGACGCTGTTCTGCCAGTGCAGGCAGGCATCCAAGGCTGTGCCTGGATCCAAATGGCATCCAGATCCACTGCTGAAGCTGAAGTGTGGGGACCTTGTGAAGGGAGAAGCTTGCTGCTCCTGACTCATTTAGCTCCACGCTGGGGATCATGGCCAACAGTATGGTTCATAACAACACTCAGCAGAGCTGACTTGTAGAATGACTGGCCAAAATTGGAGGCTGATTATAACCAGCACCAGGTAGCAGTTTGAAACCTCAGAAACCAGGTCATCTTCCATATGCCAGTTGCACACACCTGTAGATTTGTTTTTCTCCTTTTCTAAGAATCTGTGTGCTAAGAATCTAAGGCTTTACAGAGCAGTAGGCTGCAAACTGATTTGTGACTCAATGGTTTAATGCAAGTACCAAAAGGGTTCACGCTCAACTCACAGTTACATAGTCAGTGAGAGCTGGCCTCCAATCTGGCATTTGTGGCACAGATAACAACTTACAGGCCATGCAAAGCTGTGGGTGCAGCCTTACAGACAGTGAACAACAAAGTGACCCGTTTTCCTTTGATGTCAGCTGTTTGTGCAATATTTTGCTCTTCACATCTTGGTGGCTTTTCCCCTCCCAACTGCTCTGGTGAAGGGTGAGACTGATATGGCAATCACAGGTAGAATATGTCAATGTCCTCCTTACATCTACAAAGCCATCAGGGTGAGCCTTATCAAAAAAAGTGACTGGCAGATTGACTGGTTCACAATGCTTTCATCCCCATCAGATTTCAGATGTAACAAAGGTTTCTATCCACACCCAAACAGCAGGAGAAACTCATGGCATGGTGGGCATGCTCTGCACAAATCAGAGGGAGAGCAGGAACAGCATTTCCATCTAGTCTGTGGGAGGCTCCTTAGCACCTCACCTTGGGAAGAAGCAGAAATGTTTCTATAGCACTGCTAAGCACGGAGAGATGTTGTCACCAGATTTATGCTGATTCCATTGAGGTAAGGAGAAAGTGGGGTGGCACTAGTTGAGGCAAACACTAGGCAAACATGCAGCCCCATAGATGGTAGATGCACCAGGGCACAGCTTGAAGCAAAATGTGCTTCTCATGTCCCATCTGTGGCTGTGGTCCATATGGCTGGGCCAGGTAAGCTTCCTTGGGGCAGTGCTGATATGTTGGGGATAAGAACGTGACCCAGAGTGGTTTCAGAGCAGCTGGGGGTTGGTGCTGGTTGGGTCTTGCAATCTCCCTCTTAGATATTTAGAGCTTTGTATGGTAAAGCCCGCTGTACTGCTTTTAAAACCACATCCTGCAGGGTATGTACAGCAGTCTGAAGCACAGTCCTTGCTCGAGTGTTCAACCCCTTGTGCTGAAACTCAAGCTAAACCACCCACAACCCCCACCACTGCTGCTGTTTCCTCTCTTCAGATCTGTTGCTTTGCAGAGCAACAGAAATGTGGCTCTGAGCCAGTCTTAAGCCAGAAATGTTTCCACACATCAAAGCACCTCTTGGGCCTTTCTCCTTTTGTTACTACCAGTCCCACCGTGCTGCTTTTCAGATCACTCAGTTGAGAATTGCTATGTTCAGTGTTTGGGGCCCCAGCTATTTATCTTGTCCCCCAAAAGCACACCTGATCCCACTCCCAGCTCCTCTTCATCCCTGCCCAGCTCTGAGGCTCAGCTCTCCAGGGCATGGCAGTGCATTTCTGTGTGTGTAGGTCTCTTCCCCCAGAGCCACAGAAGCACAGTCTCAGTCTATTCCTGAGCTGGGAACTCAACACAAAATCTTTTTCTTTAATAGAAGTAAAAAAAAAAAAAAGCACAAGAAAATCCTTTCTGCTGCATATCTGGGGATGTTGGCTCTCATTTTATTAATATATTACAATTTTGAAAATGTATATTGAAAAAAAAAGCTGAAACAGACTTTTACCAATGGCGAAGTAGCCTGACATCTTTCTAATAGAACCCAAGCAGAGCTCAAGTGCCAGACTGAAATGGAGAGGGAAAGGTAAGCAATAAAGGACAGATCACAAGAAGCTCTATGCAGCAATAGCTCAGGTAAGTGAAACAGCACCAGCAAATGCACTTGGGCAGCCTTTAAGGTGCAGCCACTCAAATAGATGTTTTTATCTTACATGACAACATGACATATCAGTAAAAATTGAAGGACAGCTTCACAAAAGAGCTAGATGCTGTCCTGAATTTGTATCTCTATGGCCCCACCACATTCTTTTCAATTCCAGCTGTTGCAGAACGGAGTGCTGGTGCTGGGGCTGAACCCAAGGGTCCAAGTTTCAATCTGGGAAACACAAAAATCCCTGTTGTGCTGTCTCAGTCAGACTGAAAATGTGATATTCATTTCTAAGTGGGGGTCAAATCTAATCTGAAAGGTCTAAGAGCCTCTTAATTTAATAGTAACGAAAATCTCACACTCAGCCAACCACTTAAATTTCCTAATAGGCTTTCAGGTGACTTGGGTAAGTGCCAAATTCTCATCTAAACCTTAAAGGATGTTTTAATGAAGATGTGAGACATAAAGGTACCCCGATGCAAAGGGCACTCAGCCCTACTCATTTCCCACAGAAGAAGGGCTATGGGTTGGATGGCCCTATCTGCACGTACTGGTAGCAATTTGTCTCTTCTTTTGGAGAAGGACAGCATTAGAGGCCAATCCCTCTGAGAAGAATCCTCATTTCATGCACTAGCTACGTAGGGAGGAAAGGGAAGCAAGTGCAGGCACTTGGGACAGAAAATGAAATTGGAGGGAAAGACAGAGCATGCAATTGAAGCAGAGAGAGAAGAGAGAGGGGAAAGGAGGTTAGAAACCATGAGTGAGGCTCCAGGCTTTTAGTGAGAAGGAAAACTTCTCTGCCAATGGGCTCAGAGATTTCTTAGCCCTAATGTCAGACTGAAGGAACACCATGGGGTGGAACAGCATAGGGCAGCAGGACGCCTGTCCTGTCCAGCTGCTCGGCTGACCTCAAGGCACCTGGGTCACAGTGGGTCTGCAGAGAGCCAGCAGCAAGCTAGCCAGAAGCACTCAGCTCTTCTGCCTCTGTTTTCCATCCAGCCTGGTATCTGGGAGAATTTCAGAAGCCCCTGTGTTCCAGGCCTGCATACACTTCTCGCTGGCCTTTCCTGATGGGCTGTGGGAACAGAAGAGATGCTTGTTCAGGAATCCTTCTTAATACATCTTCCAAGACTCCAGGCTCTTAGTCCATACAGTACTCAGAGAAAACCACAACAGAGAGACTAGGATCAGAGTGATGCTTTGGCAACGAGCAGTCTGCAGGAAACTGCATTTCTGCTTCTGACTCCCTGTGTCATCAGAGAAAAGGGCCTCCACCCTCCCCACCATTTTCCTCCACACCCTGCAGAGCTTGGAGGTGGACTGGATGTTACATCAAAGGAGAAAAACAGAACAAATGCTACAGATCCCCAGCTCTGCCTATCCCTCCCCAACCAGCAAAGAAAAGTGGAAAAAGCGCAGGTTGTCCTTACCTCGTAGTCGGGGTTTGGAACAGGGGGAGGACGCTGCATCTTCTGAGCTGCAACAGAGGCAAAAAGGGGTCATCCATGGTGATGGTTCTTCTAACACAGCGTGAGGGGCTTTCACAGAGATGATCCCAGGGTAACACATACCATGGGTAAACACATGTGATTTCGTTGTGAACTCAGAGCTTTTAAAGATCCAACTGCTGCAGCTCTGAGATCTTACAATCATTTAGGAGGAAATCAGCTTTCTTTTTCAAGAAGAAAACATGAGGGCCCTGTGACCACAGACATCTGCCCCACAGATGGATATCAGATCTATACCCCTCTGGCCTAGGAAGCTGAATAGATGAGAACACATTGCATTGCATTTGAACCCATCACTCAGCAGGTGTGATGAGCACACAGCAGGGGATTTCAATCTGCTGATAGATTTGTGTCAGCTTTTTGGGCACTATTGGAAGTGGCAACATCTGATCTGCACAAACCCAGAATGGCAAGCACCCATTTGACCCACAGGCAGCCCCCTGATACAAATATCACCATTGACACTTGAACAATTCCAAAGTGGCATCATGAGGTCACAACCCCTCATCACTTTACCCCAGCATTTATTATCACAGAATTACAGAATCACAGAATCGTAGGGGTTGGAAGGGACCTCCAGAGATCATCGAGTCCAACCCCCCTGCCAAAGCAGGATCCCATTATTATCCATCAGCCCCACTGCTGGATCCACTGGGCCACCAAAACAAGGCCTCAGAAGCCAGAAATTTGAATTCAGTGTTTCAGTAAATTGTGATGCATCTACTGCACGTGTTCCTGATTCTGGATCTTTGAATGCCTGAGACGGATGCAGTGTTTGCTTCATCACAGTCTCAATGCTGCTTCACAGCAGCCTGTGAAATGGTTTCCTATGAGCAGGAAGCCTCTATCACATGCAGCCCATACAGAATTCAGTCCAGAGCATCACATGTGGCATCAGGAGTGGGGTTTGGCAAGGCTCTGGGGGCTTTGTGGGAGACAGAGGGTGCTCCATCCATCAGCAAGGATGACTGCTTAGTTTAGCACGTAGCGCACACCGCGGAGAGCAGACATCTGAAATGGCTCTTACCTCGTGGCCGACTGCCAGCAGCAGCTCTCGATTGCCCCTTCTTGTTTTTGCTGAAGTAATGGACCAAAATCAGTACCCCCAAGGTGATGAGAAGATCCGCAATGATGATCCCTGTCACAGTCAAGGTATCCAGCTCCTCACAGTTTGTGCACACTGCCAGGAGGGAATACAAAAGTGCTCTTAGCCAGGCACGCTGCCTTTGCAGCAGTGGTGAAAGGGAAAGGCCACGTATCCAAAACATCAGTAAAATGCTTTCTGCTCATCATGTTCGTGGTTGTTACTCATGCACTTAATGCTTGCAGAAAAGATACAGCTTGGGGTGAGAAGGAGCAAAGAGCAAACAGAAAGGAAAGAGGAAGGCATGGGCCGTTCTATCCCCACTCCATTTCAGTCTTCAAACAGTCCTAGGGGCTGATGTGAGTACCATCTATACTTTGCTGTTCTGCATTGCCTGCAATGTAAATCATCTCCTAGATCATTACTGTTCTTCTCATGCTGATCTGACTTTATCCTCTCCCTAACTATGCTGAATTCTACACAGTGAATGTAGAGCAGCTGCCCAAAATGCCTCTGCAGAACAGCATTCACTCAGCCCATCTCAACATCCACCTCTGAAAGGTGTTGGCTTTATCTTTAGCCCAGGCAGGTTCTCACAGACTGAGTGCTTTTTCACTCACCTTTGGCATTCAGGTACATTTCATGCTTTTCATTATTTTCTTCACAAGTCACATTGAGAGGAGAGCTGTTATGATTCTCTATCATGTACTTATTGTCGTTTATTGTTTTCCCATCATTTTTTGGCATCACTTTTATGTTGCTTCCAGAGGAGGGACATGTGATTGTCACTGTGGTTCCAGAAATCTCCACTGTGAATTCAGCTTGGATTTAGGGCCAATGAGAAGAGAAACCATAATTACAAGGAGATTCTGGCACGCTTCCCTCCCCCTCCATGATCCCACCCAATTTGTTCTGCTCTATCTTTAATCTAATTGTAGAATGTAAATTCCCTGTGCACGCAAGCCTATTTTCTTTAAGTTTTCATACTGACCACTTTGCAATGCTAAGCAGAAATCATCACAAGATGTCATCACAAAATATTCAACTCTATGTCAGACAGTGTGGCCACACACCACTGCTACTTTAATTTTTTTAATTAGTCATGAATACTAGTAAAATACACTTACCCCCCTGAGCTGCTGCACCAACTACAAAAGAAAGAATAACATGTGTTAATCAAATTAGATCTTGATATTATATGCCTTTCCTACTTCAAGGATCTCCTGAATTCAGCTGCTTGAGGAAGATCTTCACACTCATATTTGTGCTAAATTAGATTCTGTTGGCTAAGACAGGATGTTGTTTTGAAATGAAGCCCCTTTCTTTGGAAGCCATTTTAAACAGACTACGACTGAACAGAGGTTGGAATGATTTTTCGAGCCCGCTTAGAAAACAGTTTCTTGCAAGGAATTCTGCAATTCTGCTTTATTGCCATGGATCAAAGAAATGCTGCTCAGTTCAAACCAGTAACATGGAAAATGCTGCTGTTCCCAAGATAGCAGTGGATCAGTACACAGAGTAGAAGCTATACACCACGATCACAAAATGCTTAAGAAATGTGCATGGATAGAGTGTAAAAATGAAATAAGGATTTGAAGCTTGGACCCTTACAGTTCACACTGCTGCAGGAGGTAGTGCCCCATCCTCCAGCTCATAGCTTCACCCACTCTGCTGCCTAAATTTTGGAGACCGCATCCTTTAGCGGATCAGTGAGCAAGCAGAAACTGAGTGAGGAGCCAAGCCTGAAAGGGTTGGATCCTCATTTTGCCCTCTGAGAGGAACGCTCACTTTGGAAGGTGGCAGCTGTATACACCAGTTTCAGAAGATGTGGCTGCAGGTACCAAAGCAGCCGTGCTGCCATGCATCGTGCACTGCAGCCCCTGGAGCCCTCCCCATCCCTGCAGGAGTCCATCCAGCTCCACTCACCCACACACAGCAGGAGGCCCAGGAGGGGCAGAGGCACCTCACACCTCATCCTTGTGCTCCTCCTTCTCGCTCTTTTCTACCGTTCCCGATCAGATTGGCATCACTGCAGCTGGCTGCGAAGGAAGAAAGAACACATTTGCTCTTCAAGTTCTTGCTTACAAGAAAGAGGCCCAAGAGTTTTTCGCAGAACTGTGTATGGCAGCGAATGGAGCAGTGCCAAGGAGACTCACTGTTTCCAGTGAAACCTGCAAGCAGCCCAGAAAGACACAGAGCACACGTGATAAGAAAAACTTCTCAGGAAATGCGGAGGCTCAACATGTCTTCAAATAACGTCATTGACAGCAAGGGGTGGCTGCTCTGCACCAGCCCATTGGAGACCTGCTGTCACTCAGCAGCAGGAGGCACACACAAGCCTGTGTTAGATTTACCTTCAGGACCTTACGAATTTTTCAATGTATTACTGAAGTTCAAATTTCTGCAAGCAGCCTAACATACTGAGGGAACAAAGAGAAGGAACCAGGAATCAGAAAATGATTTGGGTTGGAAGGGACCCTAAAGATCTCCTAATTCCAACCCCTTGCTGTGGGCAGGAACATCTCCCACCAGTCCAGGTTGCCCACAGCCCCATCCGTGGCCTTGGGCACCTCCAGGGATGGGGCACCCGCAGCCTTTCTGGGCAGCAGTGCCAGAGCCTCACCGCCCTCATCATGGAGAATTTCTAACTAATATCCTGTCTAAATCTACCCTCTTCTACTTAAAGCCATTACCCCTTGCCCTGTTACTACACTCATAAAAAGCGTGTTGACTTTTGAAAGGCGTTCTACGACTCTGGGGATTAAGTACCCGAGTAAAAGTGGCTGGATTCCACTAGAGGGGGCTCCAGCCCCTCCGACGCACCCTGCTCTCACCCCAGCTCTCCCCTGCCCTCGCTGCGGAACACAGCAGAAGGGAACTTTCTCCTTTCCAACCACCCAGAGATTCCCATAGGGTTGGGGCCGTCCCAAGTATTGCTCTCAGCAGGGATGCAGACACGCAGAACGCACCATCTTTCTGTTTTCCTGTGCTTGAAATATGGCAGAGCTGCTCATACAAAGGCACAAAGATGCTGGGGATTTTTTAGGGTACCTGTCCAAAACAGGCATTGCAAAAACAAAGCTTCCTCCCTCCACAAGGGTGCACTTTGTTCCTGAGTCTGCCGTTCAGATCTCAAAGCTCTCCTTTCTGGATGTGTGAAGCTGGCTTCGTGCTCCTTGCAAAGAGCTTATTTATTTACATGGCTAATCGCAACGCTGGGGGCTTTTTTCAATTTATTGAGCTGCTCCCGTTAGCTGTCAGCCCTTTCTTTTACTAATTTCTGTTTCAAAATGAAAAAATTTGCGTTACTAATAATGGTGCCTTGAACTTGGTTCTCATAACAGTTGGAGTCAGAATGTTTTGAAACAAGAAGTTGAAGGTTAGTAGAAGATTGCAAATAAAGACTGGCACAGACCCCCCTCCCCAGTGCTGTGCATTACACAGATGTGGCCATGAAAGCTGGTACTGTTGCTGAGTGGCCAAAGGCAGTGAAAGGAGGAAATACAACTTGTCCAATTGGAATCTGCATGGGTTGCCTGAAGATAAGTTGCTGCTGTGCAGGACAGAGTTAAGAGTTGCCAGCCTGGTCTGTGGGAAGACATGGAGCTGATGTGACGCCTTGTTGTCATGAGGCACAACAAAGCACCAAAGTCTTAAACTGGAAATTCCTACAGCTTGACTTCTGGATTACCTGTAACATAGATGCACTGATCCTTGTGCTGCTGGGGATGGAATCGGTGACATCTTATTGCAGGGAAAGCCATGAACACCTTTCAGAAACCAGCCCAACAAGCCTCTGTGAGCCAAAACCAAATGGCAGGCTGAGAAAGGAGCTGTGGAGTCTTGCTGCTCTAACCACACAATCGTGCTTCTGCCTGAACATGTGTGAGGGAAAGCTGCGTACCTGGATCCACTTGGATCTGAAAATCTAAAGAGGAAATCCGGCTTGATTGTCTGGAAAACATGAGTTAATGTTGAACATTTTGGTGCCTTCTAAGTGTGAGCTGCAAGTTATATGTCCTGGAAGCAGGGCGTATTTGGAGTTCCTCTGCACTGAGGAGAGCCAGGTGAGACCCAAACACTCACTCTGAAACCACTGCAATGACAGCAGTTCAGCTTCTTCCAAATCGAGAAAGACTGGACCTGTATCTCACCTGAGGAAAGAATCCAGTGGTTAAAAATAAGAGCCTGTGCCAACACTCTTCAAGTTCAGACCTGAGACAATGTAAGTGAGTAGCAATTACCTCTCCCAGGACTGTAAGAGACCTGCAAGCCAGGCAATTCTACAGAACTATCAACCATGGCAAGAGCTTATCCTTCCAGCATACCCTACTTGAATGCACTGAATATAATGTGCTCAGATGGTGCATGCACTGTGAGCTCAATGCGTCTGAGATACATCAATCTTACAGGTGCTAAAACACCTCATTCCTGCTTTGGCACCACCGCAAAGGCAATTAGCACCAGTCACAATGAAAGTTCATAACCTGGGATGGCTGCTTTGGAAGCTGGCCAAGGATCAGACACAAGCCCAGTCGCAGCCGGTACAACTTAAATGCTTTTACATGATTTATGGTCTAACTTATGGTTAGCAAACACCCTGCTATTGCTAACGCACATGCACAACTCAATTTCATGTCTCACGTGCCACTGGGAAAACGTTTTGTGTCTCACTGAGTTTCTCCAGCTCCTCATGCCATCACGTTGTTAAGCATGCTGGGGCTTTCCAAGCAGTGCCTGGACTAGCACTAGCTTTGACTCATATCTGAGGCTGTTGTCTTCTGACTTTTCCAAGAACTTCACCAGCATTAGATAATGCTGTTTCCCAATTCTTCCACAGGGCAGCTGCAACAAAAAGCAGAGTGATCGCCTCTCTTCATTACAGGTACCTGTGCTTCAGCAGGACCCTTCCACGATCTGAGTGCATGCCCACAGTGCTGTCACAGGCTGGCTGATCTGTTATCTTTTTTTTGGTACTGTTTGCAACTTTTCAATCAAACAAATAGACTTCATTCCTTCAGGCTATCTCTAAACACCTCAAGGCAAATCGGTGTTTAGGTGTAAAATGCCGTCCCACAAGAGGGGAGTGGTTTCAAGTGGAAGCTGGGAGGAGGGATGATTGCAACACAAAAGAGCAAGGGAATATGGGAGGCAGAAGAAATTAATCTTACCTTGAAAATCTGCCTGCTTTGCGCACAGAAGTGAGCTGTCTGGCTGCCGCACCTCTCCTTCAGTGCAGGGCAGTGACTCAAGCAAGAAGACGTGTTCACATTGCCTTCCAGGCCAAGCTGAGAGAAAAGAATTTGCTCAACCGTCCCAGGAAGGCTTTGAGAAACTCATCTTTTATCCAGTTATCAAGAGCCTGAAACAAACTTCTCCCTGTGCTGCTCAGCCCGCAGAGCACGGACTTGTTTTCCCGATGCCTAGCCACACCTGGCTGGGGGCTGTGCTCATCCTTGGGGCACAGCTCCGAGGTAAGGAAACCTGCCATTGCCTGGCCTCTGTTGCCGTCTTGACTTTCCTCTTCTCATCCCTTAATTATCATCCTCAGTAAGGCAGCGACTTTACAGGAGTCTCAGATATTGGTTGTGGATGATTGCTGTGATTCTTTTGGTCCCGGGTTCGCTTGCGAGTGACACGATTGAATTTCTGCGACAAACAGGCTCAGGTTGTTCGGGTGGAGGAAGAACACTGATCTAATTCTGAGCTCTGGTTACACATCCTTTCCCCTCCTGCCTCACTCTTTGATCTTGCCAGGAATCCGGACTTAGGTGTTTTTTCTCCGTCTTTGTTACCAGACAATCACAGTTTGTTAGCAGCTGTTTAGGTCCTTTACACAGCAATAAATAACTATGGCAAAAAAGTCACTTGAATTGTCAGTGGTTGATAACAATGTAACCAGAATCAAAATTCAATCTGGGAACACCACCTCCTCCTCAAGAGAAGTATTGGAACGCAGATACTCTCAATAATCTGTCTTATAAAAAAATGTATTTTTTACCCTTAGTTCCCACAGTTGTTCTTTTTAAGAAGTTTGAAGTGAAAACAGGAAAATTCAATGTGGGATCTTTGGGAGAGAGTCATCATCTCTGCCAGTGAAGTTTTGAAATACAATCTCCTTTGCTGTTTTGGTATTTCAAATATTTTCTCCTCTAAGGAAATAAATTCTTTAGCTATAAATTACATTCAAATACAGGAGTATTAATTGTCTTTGCTACGACAACCCCTGATAAGCTCTTTTTCCTTGAGTCATACTGAGTGGGTTATATCAGTTTCCTGCTGTGATAGAAAATCACTCGTGTTTTCTTTTTCTGCTCTGTAAGGATTTTTTCTTTCTTTCCTTTTACCAGTGGAAATTAACTCATTAACCAGAGGACTGTGCTGGCCGGTTCAGAGGTCTGAAGCAGTGAGGGAAGCAATAATGTGATCACAGGGGGAAAAAGAGGGAAATGAGAGCATCTTCTTTCTGAATCTTTTGTGGTCACTTTTGCTGCTCTTCTTTATGTCCTCTGCCTTGATGTGAACTTATTTTTAAGCAGCAGCCGTGGTGGTTTTCATAACAGAGGATGTTTGTTTGACAAACAAATGTTTGCAGATTTACCTTGAGGATTTCCTGTGTAGATTCTCAACCTGCTTTGCCTATAATTGTCTGGCGGTGTTATTAACCTCCTCGACAGACAGCTCTTACATGAGTAAAAGCAGTTTTCACCGCAGTGTGCAAGACACTCAAAGGAAAAACACAAAGAAGATAGAAGAAAGTTCAGGGGTGGGAGGTGGTAACTGTTCATAGGTGCTTAGCAGTGCTACTTTAAGGAACAGAGCTGCTTTTCTGAAGAAATCTGCCTGGGGAACTGAGTACAATAAGGCGTAATCACCTGTGATAATGTGACCGGGACAAACACATGAAGTTATGTGACATCTTTTGTGCCTGTCAGATATAAGCTTATTCAGCGAGAGGGCTGGCATTTACAGCAGCACTGCACCTCCTAGGTGTCGTTTGCTCACGCCTGAAAAGAGACGATTCCTTACTAAAACAAACCAGTGTCTTTTCCTGCAGGCGAGTCCCTCTCAGAGGTCCCTTCTCAACTCGTTATTAGATCTGTCAGTATCTAACCGCAGTCACAAAACTACAAAGGAACCATTGTCCTAGCAGTGCGGATGAAAGCAAACTCCCGTGAAAGCAGCAGGGTGCAGCTCGCATATCACCTACAAAAGCCATGAAGCACATGAGATCTTTTGGATTCTGCATACACAGGACTACCACACTCAGTAATTAAACCGGCATGCTTGTAATTGTTAGGTTAAACGTTAATAGGGACAGACAGGGCAGGCTCCTGCCTAGAACAAGCAGAGATAAGTGATGAGATTACTCCAGGACAGTAGTTTTGTTTGTTTCTAACCCCTTCCTGTTTTCCCTGCAGCACTGTGGCCTGTCGCAGCCATAGAAGTTTATACTTATAAGGAGGTGGATGCTGTGAATGGAACTAACGTACGGCTCAAATGCACCTTCTCCAGCAGCAGCCCTATTAGCCCACTGCTGTCAGTGACCTGGAACTTCCAGTCCGAGGACCTGAGCTCTCATGAGCCAGTGAGTGAGACCCTTACGCTCCGTTTCATCGATGCACGCTTTGCTCACATACACCACTCCCAGGGCCCAGCACTGGCTGGGTAACAATGCCAGGTGTGGGTCTGGGCATGCACAGCTGAAACACACAAGTACGGACATCTCGAGCCTTCCTCTGCTGTTCATGAGGATTACTCTAAGCAAGAGGTTTTGTTTGGATAACCTTGTTCAAGAAAGCCCCTTTCTGCTTAGTTTAGGGTAAGCAGGGTAGCAGGAAATTTCACCTGCTGACAACTGAATCCCATACCTTAGCTAACATCCTGCACGTGATGACTTACGATTTTCTTTGGCCAACATGTCAGGACAGGCAGCTCAACATGTATTGTAGCATAACTGAAAGGCTGTTGAACAGCCTAACAAAGCCTTAGACCTGAGAGGACTGAGGTCGCATGGCTGCTGGAGCATTTTGAAATTGTTTTAGGTTCATCTGGGAGAGACAGCGCCAAAACAGCTCTCCTCAGCTCAGGCAATCTTTCTTAGCTAGTGCTACCCCACTTTCACTTCATAAGCTGCAGGAGTTACAGTTTCCTCTCTTTCTTCCAGGTATTTTATTATCTCAAGGAGCCCTACACACCATCTGCTGGACGGTTCAAAGGGCGAGTCACTTGGGATGGGAATATTGAGCGTTACGATGTTTCCATCGTTATCTGGAATTTACAGCCCACTGACAATGGAACATTCACCTGCCAAGTGAAGAACCCACGAGACATCGATGGCACCATTGGAGAAGTGCGACTCAGAGTTGTGCAGAAAGGTGAGAGGCCAAGAACACCACAAGAAGCCATGTGAAATTAGTGCAAAACAGGGACGGGTCTTCCTCCACACATGGAAAAATGCATGGAAGAAAAAGGATTATAAAGTGAAAGCATGAGGAAGTGTTCTGGATATAATGGAAAAAAGTGCTTAAGAAAAGGTTATATTTGTGGGAATAAGTATCCAGCTTCATACCAAAAGCCCTCAGCGAGTCCCTCTTGTTCATTCACCTATTTCTCTCCATGCAGTGAATTTCTCCGAAATCCACTTCCTTGCCATAGCCATTGGGTCTGCCTGTGGTTTGATGATCATTGTGGTGACAGTTGTGATTATCTGTCGACATCGTCGGAAGAAACAGCAAGAGAAGACGATCGAGGTGGCAGACACTGAACTGTAAGCACAAGAGGGGAGAGGGAGAAAGGCTTCTGGGAAGGCTTGTCAAATATATCTTCATGGACATTCTGAATCATTGGCTTGGGCCCTATATTAAGCATCTACAATGCAAAACTGCCAACATAATTAGCAATAATTGGCTGCTTACTTGCAGTCGGAACAGAGCCCCAGGGACGAATGAACTTTGGAGTCCTCATTTTGCTCTTGTACTTCAAGTTGGCTCCTAATAGAGAGTAGAAGCCCATATGAATTCCTGTTATATATTATGTATGTTGTATGTAACTCAGAACCTCACTGCTGCTCAGGATATCTGATGCTGATTTTCTTTTTTTTTTTCTTTTTTTTTTTTCTTTTTTACTTTTTTCATAAAAGTAGAGAAAAGGAGAAGCTGAGGAATATAGAAGAGAAGGAAATCACTCCATTAGAAGACTAGAGGTCTCTGATAGTATATACAATGCAGGTATCTAATCAAACATTCTCTAATCAATGTCTTGGTGTTACTGCAGACTTTCTAGACAGTTTTATTTATGTATTTCACTTCCATTCTGCAGTCAGCAGGCCACAGTAGCCATAAATATGAGCAAAAAAGACCACACGTTGCTCTTGAGGAACTGCCAGAGAAAGACTGACAACTGAAAGGCAGTGGTGACAGAGCTCCCTCTTAACCATAAGAGAGATTTCTCCACCTTATCAATGGGGATCATTGCAGGAAAGCCATTATTGCTGCTTTCCATGTTGTGCTTGCTTTGTGGAGAGAGGAATTAATTCCCTTTCATTTGTTTTGAATATGCTTTTTGATTAATTTAATATTTATTTCCTTATAATTGCTACAGGAAGACTGAAACTCTTCCCAGATTTGCTGGCTTTGCTGAAATATTTCAAGCGCAATTTTCCCCCATTCAATTTCTGAGGTCAACAGATGCTTCCCCTATGTTTGTTTTCAACAATAATCATGAGTAATGAATTTATTTTGTTTTTCTTTTAATCCTCCTTCTCAGGTACTTCTAAAGCAGATGGTGAAAGCTTGTAATTTTGGATCTTAGAACAAAGCTGAATTACAGACGCCTGATGCTGGAAGTGTGGCATCCCTGCTCAACCTGAAATTCTTGCAAGAAAAGAGTGGCCTCAACATAAGTTGTAAAGTGTTATTTCCTTCACCGGAGAACAACAGGAGGCCCTTGCCCCGTGAACAAGGAACTGTCCTTAATCTCCACAGCTGCCAAACATGAGCAAATTGGTTGTGAGGATGAAATGTCAGCCAATTTGAACAAAGCACCGAGATGAGTGACTGGATAGATATTTGCTGTGTCTGAGCAGGCACACACTCGTGCACCTTAAAAATCCAAAGGTACATTCGGGCTGCCAGGTTATTGTGCCCTGTCTGGGGTCACCTAAAGGAAGACCATTAGGTGAGGGATCCGAGGAGCTGCTACGGCGTACTTTAATCTCGTTGCTACTTTAAATGGAAAGTGTTACAGATAACGAACGTCTGCTGTTTCTTGTTAGGGATAACTGGACCGGTGGGTGTGTTTTTCACTCCAGTAGGCTTTGTCCATGGGGTAGCTGACAAAACATCCTCCCACTGGCACAGCACCATTTCTCTGGATGCTGCTCAAAGCCCCACGTACCAACCAGCACATCGTACTCCTGTAAATCCATCCGTTTAACACTGTATTCCCATCCAACCTCAAGCAAACGGAACCCCAGGTCACTAAAACCTCTGAGCTATTCCGGCGTTTAACCAACACTAAGTCAAAATGTCAGCCTGTTTATTTAAAGGGTAACTTTATGGCTTCATAACTCTGCGTGTAACGTGCTGACCGCGTTATCTGTTTGTACAGTTTTGTTTTCTATCGTGTCCATCGTAAATAAACGCGGTTCGTGGGTAGAAGTGACAACGTTATGGAGAAATTCACATCGCACGCCGGGCTCCGTCCCGAGGCGCAGACCGCGGCCTACCGGCCAGCGCTGCAGGGCGGCCCAGGTGAGAGGCGCGGCCTCGTTGCCATGGCGACACGCGGCGGCCATCTTGGCGCCGCCCCCGCCCTCACCTGCGCTGCCCGCAGGTGTGCCGCCATGTTGCGCTCCTGAGAGGAGCCGCCGCGGCCGGGATGCGGGGCAGCGAGGCGGTGCGGGCGGCCGAAATCGGCTTTCTCGTTCCTCGGGGGGCTCTGCTTCTGCTCGGTAACTAGCGAACGGGGGGTGGCGGCGGTCGGCAAGGCCGCTGCGGGGGTTGGGCGGCCGCACGCTGCAGGCACCGGGGTGGGGCGGTGGGAGGAGGCCCGTCTGCTGGGCGCTACCGGCGGGCTTCGCTCCTGAGCGCTGTGTGTCCGGGGTGCGGGGGGCTTTAAGCTATAAGGAGGGGCTGGGGGTGAGGTTAGGTGTTAGGAGGAAGCAATCCTTTGTCAGAGGGCGGCGAGGCGCTGGCACTGCTGCCCAGAGCTGTGGGTGCCCCATCCCTGCAGGCACTCAAGGCCAGGTGGGATGGGGCCCTGGGCAGCCTGAGCTGGGGGGGGGGCAGCCAGCCCACAGTAGGGGTTAGAACTGGCTGTAAGTCTCCTGCTAACTTAATCCGTTCTTACTAAAGGAGTGCTCGGGTTGTTGAGGCAGGTTTCCTCGTTGGCTGGAGCACTGCAGTAAGGAAACAGAGCAGGAATTGCATGGCATCCTGAAAATTCTAAGTGAAGATTGTTTGCCAGTGTGGTTGACTCTGAACCCAGTCACCAGCTCCGTCACTTTGGGGCAAAGCATCAGAACCACCTGGCAGCAGTCTAAGGCTAGCATGGTGCGATTCCTCTGAGTTAGCTGATACAATTTCTTGGCTCTAAAACCTCTTCTACCTCAGAATCACAGAATGGCCTGGGTTGGAAGGAACCATAAGGATCATGAATCTCCAATGCCCTTGCCATTGGCAGGGCCACCAACCTCGATTTGTAAACATCTGTAGGCTTTTGGTGGTATTTTCCAGATAAAAGCCTTTTGGGATAAGGTGCAATCCCACAGAGAATATAAGTTAGGGGAATCAGCTATTTTTTTTTAAATTTCATTGTAGTGATGGTAGTCACTGCTGGACTTAGATCTTTATACTGCGTATGCATCAGTATGCTGGGGCATCATCTCTTCCACATCTCACAAATAACAATAATGTAATCCTTGTCTTTTGGGTTTCTTCCATCAGGTATCTGTGGTGCTCTTTCTCTGGATATTAAAACCAGTCCGGAGGTGCGAGGTTATGTGGGTGAACAAGTAGTGCTGAAATGCTCATTCAAGTCCAGTTTTCCCATCACTGAGAGTCTAACAATAGACTGGACATACCGGCCCCTTACTGGTGGTCGGATGGAGACAGTAAGTAGAGCAAGGAGTCTTTTTCAACTGGGTGTTGATCTGGTCCCTGTGCACAGTGAAAATCTGGTGGTATTTTCTGTTTGCCTTGCTGTGCTTCTTCATCATTTTAAAGGTTGGGATTGTCCTTGTTGTTTCCTTTTCCATCTGAAATTGCTTGTGTGTCCTTTGGGCAAGAAATAGTTTATGTAAGTGCATAATAATGAAAGTGCATAGAAATGATTAAGTAATCCTTTGGATTTTGACTCAAGAGCTAAATTGTACCCTACTGCTATATTTAGAATGACTGTAAAGCATTCGATTGGGAGCTTGCTTGGAGGCAAATGTATCCTAGTAATCTGGTGCTGTAATCTACTTTTGATATACCTTAGAGTAGTAAAAATGCTTGCAAAGATAGGCATCACTGTCTTCGGTATGTCTCTGAGGTTTACGGGTTGCTGCTTTATCTTTGTGGTAGCCCTTTGAAATCTAAGTATAAATATAGAAATCTGAACACCTGCTGGAAGTCTCTCATTCAAGGCAGAAACTGAAAATGTTTATCTTTCAGTTAATTAGTGATTAATGCTTCCTGTAGAGTTTGAACTCTTCATAATGTTCTCATATGTGGAATAAAAGGATGCTGCCTGTATGAAATGAGGTCTGCTAAGTCTTTACAGATAGAATAGTAAGTGCAAAAGCACAGAAAGCGTATTCTGAAGAACTGTGATACTCTCTTGTGTGAGGGAAGGAACGTGCTCTACTTCTTGGCTGCAGATCTACAGAAGGGAACAACCTGGTCAGAAGGGTGATGGTGACACATATGAGTGCCAAGGCTGGAAGATAGAAGCTTTGGAGAGAGAGTGAAATGTAGCTGATTCAAAATCAATGAAAAGGAACTTAAAGAGCTCTCCTGTATAAGTGTTATTCTTTCTGCCTTGTTAATGCATATTTCTTCATTTACAATCCGAGAAGAGCTTGACTTTGTTTTCTTAGTAGTCTGTTTTATTAGAGTAATTATTGCCTTTCCTTCCTTTCAGGTTTTTCACTATCAGTCTGTTGCATACCCACCATCAGTGGGAAAGTTCAAAGACAGGATATCGTGGCTTGGGAACACTGCTAAGGGTGATGCTTCCATTGCTATCCAAAGTCCGTCTGTGAGTGACAATGGGACATTCATCTGCAGTGTGAAGAACCCTCCAGATGTATACCATAACATTCCCCAGACGGTGCTGATTGTTACAGAGAGGGGTAAGCCTTTATTTCATCAACATTCTCTCACCTGTGTGATACAGCTGCGCTGTGGCCCTGTCTGAACCATAACAATCTGAACATTGCATGTGAAGTTGTTCCTGAGAGTTTCCAGTAACATTTTCAGCAAGAGTTACCTCAGCTGCTGTTCTTTCATTGCTAAACGCACTGAGAACCACTGAATTTACTGGAGACAGAAAGAGATGAAAAAAGGCAGTGGCGATAACAGAAATTAAAATGGGCTTTTGTTCAGGAATTCCAGTCTTCATTGCAGTAGTAGTAGGGGAAATTCTGGTCAGACCACAAACACTGACTTTTAGTCATACGTAATTTCATCATCTGCCTTACATGTGAGAACTGCCCCAAATGTGTAGCTTAGACAGGCTGATGAAGTTACATCATGACCTGCCTTACTTTGTCATTTTTTGCACATAAAGCATCTTACTGTGCTGGATATGTGCTAGGAGTCTTACGGATTCAGCAACAAGCTGTTTCAAAACTGCCAGCCCAGTACTGTGTGTAAAAAGGATATCAGTCTGTCCTGGAAGCATATTTTTCACAGAGCTTTAAGAAAGCCATATTTAACTAGTTACCATGGGGCTGTTCTTTGTCTATCCTGCAGGCTTTTCTTTCCAACTGACTTCAGTGACACTGCTATCCATTGTAGTATTTATTCCTTCCACTGTTGTGGTTGTTCTGATGTTGGTGAGGATGGGAAGGAAATCTGGACTGATAAAAGAGAAGAAGAAACCTGGCTGCAAGAAATCCTCTGTTGAAGAATCTGAGTAAGTTCTGTCTGGAACCTAAAGCTTGTTCTTCCTTGGCTTCTAGACACCGGCCATTGTTTCTCTACTGTTCTTCATTGCATAGCTCTCAGCATCTGCAGTTCAGTCCCTGTATGAGCATAATTTAACTAGTGAGCAGAAACTCTTTCGGAGAAACTCAGTTTTGAAGCATAAATGCTTTATATCTCTTTTCCTGGCTGCGGTATGATGCCATGGAAGTGAAGCAGTTTAGGGGTAGACAGTCTTTCACTTCCCTACCTAAACTTATTTCAGCTTAAGTCGGCAAAATATTTTGCTGATGTGGGCTTAATTTTGTTTGTATGTAACCAAACGCAAAGTAAATAATGCTAACTGCTCCAGTGATGGCCTGACCAGAGCTGCCAAGTGTTGAACAGCTCCTGAAGGCTGGATTCCCTTCTGAATTGGAGAGGACTCTGTGCTGGGAGTGTTTGGCATGGTAGTGTAGTAAAAGCACTAAAGCAGCCCTGTAACTGCTGGAGTTGCACCTGTTTTTGCAGAGAATTCACTCTGCTCAGTTGTAGTACTGGTATTTTAATATAACGCTCTGCTTATTGTTGTAAATTTCTTCCTAAGGGGCAGCTCTTGTTAAATGAAATAGCTGCCTCTTGAAATAAGAAACCTGGCACTCCCTATTCTTTTTGGGCTTGCTATGAACTCAAAGAAATGATGAAAAGCCTCAAAATTCAGTGATAGAGGTAGAAATCGTAGTCAATAGAAGAGAGATTGTTTGTGTTCAGTGGTGGAAAGTCCAGCCTCATCCTGTGCTTGTTGCTTTCCAGGTCCGAATATACAGACAGCTGCATGGAGAGACTCAAAACGTGGTGTTGGAACTGTGTGGTAAGTGAAAGTTGATGCCTTTACCACTTATTTTCTCAATATCAGTATTGAGAGGAGGTGCAAGAACGTGACCTCTCTGGATTTCAGAGACGTCAGTCGCATTTGGCTGTGCTTTTACTCCTTGCTATTTTCCACACATGAGGGCAGCAGAGCTGGGTTGTGAAGATGCCAAGGAGTGATTACTGTGGTTAGAACGATAGATGGGGATCTGAAAGTATGTGGTTGGTCATAGCTGAAAACACAGCAGTTTGTGCTGCTCTGGATCCCCACTGTAGGGGGCTGGGATGCCTTTTGAGTTGATGCCTTTCTGCACTTTGTTTTTCTTTTGCTTAAGTTTTATCTGCTGCTTAATTTAAAATACGTTTCATGTGTTATTTGAGCAGTGGCAATTCAGCTGTGTTTGTGACAATCCAGTAGATTTAGCTGCAAGTGTTTGTACAACTACAAATTCTGAGACCTGTTCAACCACACCAGCAGTTTAGGAAATATTCAAGCTCTTGTCTGAAGCCTAGCAGACTCAAATTTTTATCAAACTGATGTCTTGGTACACAGTCTTAATTTCTTTCTCTATTCCCCCTACTTAGGACACAGATGAGGAAGACCCATACTGACTAAGGATCAAATGTATGGATAATGAACAAAATTACAATGCTGAAAATCATGACTAGATAAGTACAAAGGCTGCTGGATAACAGCACAGATTGGAAGAGCTGCTCTCATCTTGGTATACTGGAACAACAATGCTGACTGGATAGTTCACTTCTAAGCACAATGTAACGATTTTTGAAATCTCCACAATTTATTGAGGGAGTGGGGGAAAAAAAAGAAACTCCTAAATCTCCCTACTTCAGTGCCTACAGGAACCTCAGTGCCTGCAACTGTCAGGCTGTTTCCTACCAGCAGTTTGACAATGCTCTTTTCTTAGTTTACTTGGTAATATTTCCGTTATGGTTGATAATATCCCTCCTTTCTTGTGTCCTTGAACTCCACTTGCCTGAAGAACAGAGTACTCCAGAGTGACACATGAGCTCTCCAAGACAGTCGTCATGGGGCAGTGACATCATATTCTCAGTTTTTGAGCAACATATTTGCTAAGGATTTAGAGCAGTCTGATTAAGTTGTTACATGACATCCTTTGTCTCAAAGCAAAGAGAACCTACTGTTTTTTAATTGTTTCCTTGCTTGAGCTGCCACTTAATTACAGGATCATCATTTTATTCCTACTGTTTTCTGATTCAGCTGCACAGCAGTGTTACCTTACTTTGATTTTTATTTGTCCAACAGCTGCATTACTGGGTTCATCTTCTACTTACACGGAGCACAATTCATATACAGCCTATTTTATAAACCAGAAATGCGAATGGGGACTCTATGTCTGGGGAAACACAACCCCATCTACCTCAACCACTGACTCAAGGCCTTGTCCAAAGGGATGTTCTGTGTTCAGAAGAACAATCATGTTCCTCCTCTCTTTCAGGGAAACAGTGAATTTTTGGGAAATGGTGAAATGTATCATTGCTGTCTTTTAAGATTGAGAGCACCTTCTCTCACCAGCCTTCTTCAATAATGGATTACAGGGAGCAGTGGAATTCTTTTCTAATAGCTGAAGAGGTGCTGTTTTCTGCCTTATTTTGGTATATGACATTGGTTGAATGGTCTCCTTCCATGTATGTGGTATATGTTTACTGTCTACTTTGCACTGTTACCAATAAATTGCAATGCTTCATTCAAGGCTGTGGATTTCTTTATTTGGCCACGTATAGGTAAACATACTGAGCTCATAAAACTGCCATCCTAACTTGTTGCTTGCTGAAAGAAATTGTGATGTTGGGAAAAGGTGTACCCAGGTGTACTCAGTCTCCCTTCAGAAGCCTGGTGATGGCTGTTAATCAGAGGTATGTAGGAGTTCTGACTGCAGTGCAAGTCAGCTGTAGATCTGTGTCTCCAGATAATTTTCTTTCCTCCCATCTACAGCAAAGTAACACTTAAAAAATCGTGCTTTGTGATGGCTCAGTGTTTCTACCAATGAAAACTATCCTGAGAAAGGATGTTGGGATTTGCAACTAGGAGGAAGTGGCTTTATTGTTCCACTTTCAGCTAGAATGCATCACTCTTCTTTGTGGAAATTGATAACTTTTGTTTTCCACAGAATGTTCACTTTCTGCTGCAACTGCTTTGCAAACAGTGTAACAGGGCTAAATCTTACATAATGACTAATGGCTCAGTCTGCTGTGCTGAAAGGAGTGGGGCTTGGCCATATCTCTTATCTAGAGTGGTTTTTGAAGCTGTGTTCCCATCTGTAATTCTTCTTGCCTATCTGTAACAGTCCCTTCTGACTTGTCAGTACCCTCAGTCTTCCTCTTACAAGTTCTCAACTTCCTCTTAAAAGCAAAGAGTGACCACCAAACCGAACCTTAAGTAAGAGACTTGAAACAAAAAGCTGGTGTGTTCTAAGCATCTTGCACGCACAACCTCAGGAAGATTCAGTATGATTAATTCAGAGGCTCTGAATCAGCCACTGAAGAGCTCTATGCACAAGATAAAAAAGTAGGCTGCCCCAAACCACGCTGGGTGAGTATTTTTATTTTTGCTACGAACATTTATTTTGATGTTTGGGTTTTTTTTTTTCCTTCATGAAAAGAAAATTACTGAAACATAGAAGTACCTGGAATAAAGATTCCTGTGTGCAAAAGTGAGGACAGTGGTATCATGGTATCCAAAAGTGGGCAGTGTGCTATCCATGTATGTTTTTCTTTTCAAATGGATTGAAGAAAGTTACTCTGTGAGGCTTTGAAAGGGGTTGGTGCGTCAGCATGGTGAGATAGAACAGCCTGGTGAGTGGGTGCTGCCTTCAGCACTTGCTGCTGCGTGTTGTGAAAGGAGACCCTGCAGAAATGCATTCTGAGGTGGAACCAGAAAATATTTTCAGAAGTAGGGTAAGAAGTCTAGGAAGAACTTGTTGGTGAATAACAACCAGAGTCTCAGCAAGAGGAATTTCAAAATTCTGAGTGCTGATACTCCACTGTGCAGGTCTCTGTGTGCTGAGGACCTTTATTAAGCTAAGTCCTGTTTTCACTCTGCGATGAGGATGGCCCTGAGAAGATGTAGCTCCAGCTGTGTTGTAAGGCAGCATAGCTGAGGTAAAACAAGGTGATGTAGCAGGATGCTTTGGCCTGCTGAGCTGAGATATGCTGCACTGGCACATCTTTGGAGCTGAGTGTGAATTTTGTTGTTTATAGGTCATGCATGCACAAGCGTGAGTTGCGCTGCAGATTGTCATAGCAGACATGCAAAGAAGAGCATAGCCAAACCACAGCTCTCTCCCCTCCACCTCCACAAAGCCCATCCCCCAAACAGATTTTGGTTTTTGAGAGGCAGGTTTGAGAGAGACACGGAAGGCTTGCTGCCATTTTCAGGATTTTGCTTATGGGATGGGAGGGCAGGGAAAAGCAGAGTGGTTTTGCATCACCAACCATAGGCAGTGAGGCCGTGCTCTGCCTGAAAAGCCTTTGGGACTGTTTCGCAGTCTAGAATAGACCCCACAGCTGTGGCTTTCTGCCCCGTGGTGCAGGACGGAATGGGATGACAGCATAGGCACAATGTCAGGTATTCACCTTACATATTTGTCACCTCTCCTGGGGCTGCTGCTTGGAGTGTATCTCTGGTACCTTCATCTATCTCAGGGTTTGCTGAAGCTAATCCAGAGGGCCTCTGATTCTCACAGTGGAGGAAAAATGAGAGAAATGAATGAGACTTGGATATGATTCATTTCTTGTTTCATTTATTCCTACAGCAAAAATGCCTGTATTGAAAAATGTAAGCTTTGAAAAATCGGTACTGCTTGCCTTCCTGTGTGAACACTGGCAAGCACATCCCTGCCGATGGCAGTCAGTTCTTCCTTGGGTAGTGGCATGTCTATGCTTTGGGGAAAGGAGGCATCAGCTGTACTGAGAGATGTGCAGCAGGACAAACAGCACAGTGACCAAACTCAGCACTGCCTGGGCAGACCCAAAAGGCTCCAGCACAAGCTTTCAAGACGTGTGATGTTCTGAAGCAAGGAGGTTATCTCTAGGATAATGTGATTTTAGAATCTGTATCCAAACTTCCCCAAGTTTACATGAAAAAAAAAAACCCATCCCATTGTTTTCTAAGCAGTGAATATCTGTGAATGTCTCAATTTTGGCGGTAAGGAGTCAACCCCCCAAACCACCAGAAAGCTGTATAAGTTAAGGGGAAATGCAAAGATGTTCAGGCTGAGTCCTCCCCCCATCTTTCACTCTTCCTTTCCAGGGCTCAGAGCAGTCTCAAAACCAGAGACGCGTGTGACAGCTGTGTTCGCTGAGCTGTAGGTTCCCAGCTGGGATAGGGCTAACTTTGAGAACCCAAACATCCAGCAGAGATCACATCCCTCCCTGAAGGACTGGAGGAAGCCTTCTGCAGGCCTTGGGGTGCAGCTGCAAGCAGTTGGTGTCCTGCAAGTGTTACCTGTGCTGTTCTCTTTGAGAGAAGATGAAGGTGCTGCTGGGCCTGGCTCTGGTGCTGACATTACTGGGTAAGCTGTAAATCCTTCTGGTGGCTTTATCCTTGCCTTTGCCAGAAGACCCTTTGCTTTCTCTTTTCTGCTGTGAGAGCCACTCAGAGGCTTGTAGGCACACAGGGCTGGGAGTGCTGAGCATGCCAGTAACTCCTCTGGCATCCGTGAGCTGCATGATCCCTTCCTGCACACACACAGGCTTGGAATTGTCACAGCATCCTGTTGGAGGCCTGTATTTACTGTACCAGGCTCCAAGGCTTTGGAAGATGTAGAAAAGCTTTACCACATCTAAACACAGGGTAAGGCTTCCAAGCTATTGATTTTTGGCTCTGCTTAAGGCAACTGGCCTCCTCGGTCTCCTTGGCTGACATGCTCTTCGTGTTTGCCTCCACAGCTGGTCAAGCCCAAAAGAAACCTGTTTGGGAAGCTGTAGCACTTTGCATTCATTACTTACAGGGCATCAGACAAGTGCTTGGTGCCTTGCCAGGGCCCAGCCCATGGTGGTTGTGGAAGGGCTGAGCAGGGCAGCTCAAATACTGGAAAAAATGTCCCTGCCCAAGCAGCTCCCTCTGAATCAGCTCACCCGGCCCTGACACGCAGTGCTGGGCACTCTGTTCTCCTGCTAGGATCTGTTGGTGCTTCTCTCTGTTCCTTGCAGTTGGCAGTGCTTCCCTGCTGTGCTGCTTCCCATGGCTCTGCTCTGTGCTGCCTTTCAGCCAAGCAGGTGCCTCTCTTTGCCATTTTATAGATTTTGGGAGATGGAGGCTTTCTCTAGAGGAACCTCAGGGGTGTTCTCTGCCCTGCGTGTTTCCCATTCTGTGCTTTGTGGCCCCCTATGGCAGCACTGCTGGTCTTGGTCAGCTCTGTGTTTTCATGTCCCTCTGTTTGTTTTGCACTGTTCCACTTCTCCAGAAACCCACAGAGGTGGTTATGTGGTTGGACACGTCCGAGCTCAGTCAGGAGCCTGTGAGCAAGCGGACAGGAAGCCAGATAGGCAGGTTGTGAAAGGAGGAACCGAGACTGATGCACAGGGGCCGAGTTGCCTCTGGCCAGCTGCAAATGAGTGACACTGGTTCTCCCAGCCCGTGACTCACATGAGCCCCAGTGCAGGAGCTGCAGCCTTCAGCCCTGAGACACAGAGGGCTGAGCACTGAGTCCGGAGGTGTCTTCCCCACTTCCCTTCCATGCGGCTTGTTCAGTGAGTGCAGCAGCCCTCGGTGTCTGGCGCCCAGGAGGATGTGCTGCCTCGCATCCCCGGCTTGCCGAAAGCAGGGCTCAGGGAGAGGCTTTGTCTGCAGGGCCTCCCCACTGCTCCCCGGACTGCTCGGCACCTTTAGGCTCAACCAGAGAGGAGACATCTATGGGGACAGGCAGGCTGCACTCGGCCATCCTCATCCTGCTGTCCTTGTGCCTGGCAGGGAGGAGCAGCAGCTTGGCTGGATGGGTGTTCACAGAGCCCTGGCTCCATGCTAGCGCTGGGGATTCCGTCCTGCTGCGCTGCCTCTTCCAAGACCCAGAGGCCACGGGCTGGACGGTGACCAAAGTGGACTGGCTGCGTGTGCCAGTGGCTGGCAAACAGAAGGTGGGTCAGAACCGGGGGGTGGGCAATGGGAGGGAGAGTCAGGCAGCCCTGCTGCTCTTGGAGCACTGCAGGAGGATTGCTCCCCACCTGCGTGCCCCATGCTGTGGCATTCAGTGCTGTGTCCTGGGGCTTTCCAGGGGGACCCATGCAGGAGGGAGCAAGCTGGGCTCTGTGCATGGTGATCGCTGTGTGTGGGGGGGTAGAGGCTGCAGTGCTCAGCTTGCTGGGCTCCTCTCACCAGCCGCTCTGTGCCCGGACAGGAGGAGATGGTATTTTATTACTACAGCAACTCTAGTGTCCCTGTGGGCCGTTTCCAAGGCCGGGTGCGGTGGCAGGGAGATGTGTCGTGCTGGGATGGCTCTATCCAGCTGCAGGATGTGCAGGTGAATGACAGTGGCAGGTACACGTGTGAGATCCGTCTGTTTCAGCACGGCAGCATCTTCAAGAACCACACGATGCTGCGTGTCAGCCCTGCAACACAGAGAGGTGTGCGCCCCAGCAGCTCCCCTCACTTGTCACCCCATCCAACTCCTCGCAGAGGGGTTTCCATACCTACCAGCACAGCTCTGCAGCAGTGCTGGTTTCCCTGTGGGTTGCAGCCCCCGCCTTGGTGTC